CTTTTATCTTCTTGGTCCTATTTATCTTGGACCCATGGGTAGAATCCCTCCCAGGCGTCATTTTAGCATGGTTCCTGATATTCCCTTGACAAGAGAACCAATTATGATTAAATATCTTTTGCGTCGCACCAACAACTTATTCTTTTGTCGGAGAAGTATTTTTGAACCATTTGACGAAGAACATGTGGATGTTTGGAGAAGCATTCTTTCTTCTGTTTAGACAAATGTATCTTTATTTTCAAAACATTCAGACAACAGTCGCTGACGGCATCGATGACGTCTTTCGAGGCTGTTTAAATGAGCTGTTTTCGTGTGGGTGAGGAGCTATGGACAGGAAGGCCAAGACGTCCCAATTTTTGGCTAAACGAAGAGGCAGTCGTTACCTTTCCTTTCCATTTCAGGCATGATAGTGGTTGCGTGCACGTCTTTTAGGGCACACATTTTTGTTCAGGAGCAAATGTACACTGAAATACATCTCTCAACAAGCGTCCTTTTATTTTATTTTTCGACAATGTAATGTTTAATAAAGCTTGATAGACCAGACATTTTAAGCATATGTTCTATCATTTTGGAGCCAAACGATCCTCCTTTGTTTCAATCGGATGATGGGGTCATTTCTAGTGTAGACGTCGATGCATTTTTATTCGTTTTTTCGGGTGCAGAATCCATCGACCACTCTATCATTTTCGTTTTATTGTTCCTTTTTTACTTTTTGGACAGGAGAACGACGATAGCAGTGTTGTATGCTTATTTTAGGTGACATTTGTATGTTTCGGAGCACAAAAATACAGATATTCATCGTTTACAGCAGTACAATTGTCTCTACGTCGTACCTACTTCATCACAGGCATCACGCCTCACAGAGGGGTTCGCAACGGACTAAATTGGGACAGTTCCTGCTTGGACAAATATAGTACACTCTGTAACATGCCAGATCTCTCTTAGACTTTGATTTTGGTGGAGAGTACTTTCTTAGCAGAAGCTTCAGCAGATAAAGAGGTAGAGAGTGTCACGGTGGGAGGAGAAGTTTCTGGAGACACGGGTTTCCATTTTTCATCAAAAGGGAAAGAACGGGGGTCAAATTGGGTTTGGCTGGCACTACACTCAACGGGAAGGGGATTAACGTCAAGCTATTGGAGACTGTCACTGTTACTACAGATCACTGGTTTAAAGATGTAATGTTGAGTCATGGCCGAAGAACTTCTCTTGCGGAAAGTTGTTCTCTGTGGTCTTTTTTGGTAACGTTTATTTTTCTGATTGTGTGACCTGGTCTTGACGACATTCTGCATACCTTTGGGTAGGGGTGTTTTCTAGGGGATGCTTTTGGGGGTATTGAAATCCCATTTTAAGGGTAGCTAATGATGACACGTTTTAGGGAACCCCTACCCCCAGGATTCAAAATTATTTGCGTTCTTGTTTGAGGGTGAAAGCGGTGATCTTCCAGTTGTGTCAAGGTTACTTTGTTTTTCTCCAAAAAATCTTTTAGTTTTATGTGGAATGTGAATGATGAATTGCAGTAAACCATCGTAAGACTCCTGTTTGACTGGCTTCTAAGACATGATCAGTATTTGTGGATTTTTTCTTGACTGATGCAGTACAATGCACTAATGAATTTGACGGGAAGATCAGAATGATGGGACGCTATACTGACGCCTTGTAAAGCAATTGTTGCGTTACTAATGATAAAGATCGTGGCATGGTAGCACGTTTTCATATCTCTTTCGTCGAAGGTAATAAGTGTAGTTTTTGCATAGAACTGATCGTACTCCATCGACGTATCAAGATAGATTAGCCACTAGTTCAGAATTGTTCTCTACACACAAAATTTGATAATGATAATCCTCTGAATCTTCCTCTGCAAAGAGTTGCATTATCGACAGTATGTAAGTAAAAACATCAGCAACCAAAGTCTTCTAAAACTTGAATAGGATATCATTGTTTGACCATTGGTACGCTTTCAAATGAATCAGTATTCTTATATAATTTAGGTTCCAGTGGTTCCAACATTGGTGATGTAACGGATTCATGATATTAAGAGATGACAAGCAGTTTTCCTCCCAGAACCTTGGGTTTGCATATGTTCTTGGTAACGAACAGAGCTAACAAAAGGTCTCTGACAATCTGAGCAATGCACCCGTTTTTGTCCTTTGGGAAGACAGGGTCTAGGTGCCAAACATCCCACATATTTCAATCCACAATGCTTGTGATATTCGCGATTGTTATGACCATAGTCACATTTCTCACAATAATTTCATTCCAAGAATGTCGTGATGTTAGTAATGGCATCGAAATATTCATCGTTATTATAGAAGTGGATTTTGGTCTCGAACCAACAGAGGTTTACGCATTGATTGAGCGGTGGACGTTTAAAGTGTAGCTAGAAGCTAAGATATCTTGTAATTTTGCAATTTCAGGAATGCCACAGGGCGTGTCTTTAGTTAGGCCAGCTTGCTTTACCAGTAGTTATGCTTCTCGTTTTGTTTTTGCTCGGTTCGTTTTCTAAATAGTTGAACAGGCTCTTTTCCATTCTGCCGCGTAATTTTCGTCAGCATACGTTCATCCAACCAAGATGGCACCGGCTAAACACGTGTATTTTAGGGTTGTTAACTAGTACGATATGCTGAGCTTGATTCAGCGAAGGTCGTACAATGACAGCACTTTTATGCGTTATGCGGTCTCTTTGAAAAGAGAAATGTGGGCCATGTACAGTGTCACGTTTCCATCGGTGATGTGAAACTTGTCGTTGGATTGCTGAACGTTTAATATTGTCGTTGATTTTGGAAGGTGTCAATTCTGCTGGACTTCTAAACTCAATCCAAACAGGTGACTTCAAACTGTTTTGTTAAATGGAATGTCCCAAGTGATCCCTTTTTGGCTTCATATTGTCGTTTTAGTGTGGTTAACAAAGAATTCCTCAAATCGGTTATCAACTCTTTTGTTTCTCACAAAGATACGCCAGACTTGAAATCTTTAAATTTCACTGTGTTCGTGAAGGCTGTGGTTCAAAATGTCAACAACGTTAAAGGTAACCAGGCATTACAAGGGACAAACGTCAAGATACCTATTATCATTTTCAAGAGGAAAGAACATTGGTCTTCATATTGCCCAAAGAAACAAAAGGAACAGGAGAAGAGGAGTTCCAAACAGGAAGATGAATCATCCGAAAAAGAAAAACTCGAACACGTTCAGAAAGAGAACAAACGAAGACGAAAAGAAAGTGAGGAAGAAGAGGACAAATCTGTGAGAGTGAAGTATGTTAAGGAAGGATGTGGTGAAGGCGAGAGAAAATTCACTAAAAGCCAATTATAATCGTTCTCTTCTGGAAGTCGGACTGTGTTTGCTTTGGTAGCTGCTGCTGTCATCATATCTCGTCTCCACGATCGGTTCAATTCATTGTCTTCTTAGGTCATAGGCAGCTCTGTTCGGATTGGAAGACAGACTCCTCACTATGACCGAATTTTGTAACGCGGGTTAAGATTGGTGAAAGAATTCAATTCATTTCGATTGGCTCTTCCACTATAAATTACCAAGGGTTACCTCGTTCCATTCTCCTGTTCTCGTCACAAGATGTGACTAACTTAGGGTATTAGTATACGCTTCAGAGGCCACACGAAGTTTGAAGAAGAGAAGACAATTCGTGTGGTGCCCTCAAGATTAGCTAAATAGTGTTCCGACAATTTGCCTATTCTCTCTTGCCTAAAAACATTTTTAGTTGATTTTTGTGTGATTGATTTATGTTGATACATTTGTGTTTATGACATGTCTATGTCTCTATGTTTCTACACCTGTGTTTAACCACGTCTCTATGTCTATGTCACTTTTTGTCCCTAAAGCAGTGCGTATTCAGGTCAGTCCCTTGCCGCACTGTTCCGCCCAATTACAGTCAACCACTTGCGACATTGTTGTATCCAATACCATGACGTCACTCTTGTTCAATTTGTATTGTCGGTATACATTCCGTATGTTAAATTTCCCTTGTCCGTACATAGCCCCCCCATGCCAAATTTCCCTTGTACATATATTTCAAACACCCTTTTTCAAAATTGAAGTCCCATTGTGTGTATATCGTCCCCATTTACTAATGACGTACAGAAAGTTGATATCTGAATGTTAGATCTCATGAAGCGAATTAGTACATTGTTACTCTTTAAAAACAAATTAGCACGTTCTAAAACCACTCTGCAAAGCTCAGCTGTTTTCGTCAGGAACTGGCGGACAATTTTGAGTTTTTAATTTCTATATCACGATTCCGGCCGGAATCCCAGTACTTTTCTAATTGTGCGAGGTACACACGCAAACACACAAACGCACGCACACGCACACAATGTCACACACATGCAATATATATATATATATATATATATATATATATATATATATATATATATATATATATATATATATATATATATATATAGTTAGTTAGTTAGTTTATGTGTATCTGTCATTCCGTACGGGTATAATATTCTGATCTCCACACCTCTTTGAGGCGTTTATGTGTCTGAAAAACTGGTTTTGAGGCGGTGTAAGAAAGAATCTAAAAGTGAGAAATCTTAATGGTTGTATCATTTGAACGATAGTGTAAAATGTTAAATGAACAAATATGTAGAGAAAAAGAATAGAAACTGTGATAAGTCGTCAGTAAACTGCGATAATCAGTAAAGAAACAATGAAGGCAAAAATATGCTTGTTGATGTTATTGTCTTCTTTCCGTTTTTTTTTTTTTCTTTTATTTGTTTGCTTGTAGTTCTTCTGTTGTGGTGTGTTTATAATTTTTAACGTATCTTTCACAATTTTTCAGTCATATCGCTACGATGTCTGCAGTGTGGCAGTTGATAGCGATGTCTGGCACTGGGGCATCATACTGCAGACATGTAGCATAATGTCCCACCCAGTCACAATATGCTGACACCAGACCGACCAGTCCTAACACTAACCTCTTAATCAGAGCGTTAAACGAGGCAGCTGTTAGTACCATTTTTGTAAGTCTTTGGTATAATTGGCCCGGGGATCGAACCCACGATCACCCGCCCCGCATCCGAGGCAGACGCTCTAACCACTAGGCCACCGGAGCAGTTCTTCTTTTAAGTTGTAATATCATTTCTTTTGCTGGAAAGGCGATACATGGCGGTCAGTAAATGGCGGTGGAAGAACGCGGAAACAAAAAACGGTACTGGCGAGTTTTCTCAAATACGCGGACACAGCTGCGGTGGAAGTAATAGGTAACGATGAGCACTTTAGACTTTTCATCCCGGAGTTGGCAATACTAGGTACTTTTAACTGTGTGTGTGCTAACGCACAGGCAGATACGAAAACTGCCACATACATGAGTATAACAGCATGTATTTTATTTTATATTTTAACATCTCTACAATAAGAAACTGGAATTGTTATAATCAATATTCTCGACCTCCGATTTTTCCCTCCATTCAACAGTAAAGTTGCGTGATTACTAAATCATTTTCTCTTCAAATGACAGCGCTGATTACTGCAATAATATTAGCATGAACAAGCCCGTGGACCCGCTATAATGAAGTGGGATCAACTTACACTGTTACAGCTATTAGAAAAACGGAGCATTCTGACAATAAACAAAATAAATAACAACGCTTGACGTTTTGCCGTTTGCTTAGCGGTACAGTTTAAACATCAGCATTTGCTTGTGGCTAAGCTTATATTTTCACAAACAGGTTTGACAAACTAGCCCGTAATGAGAGTTGTACTAGAAATAACTAATTGGACACGAACTGATTTTATAATAAATCCTGAAAATTTAAAAAAAAGGATGGTCAATAGATCACATAAATAAAACCTGACAGTTGACGAATGTGTTGCATCGTATTTTGGAGACATTAGCTGTTTTGACTCAACTACTAGACAGGATTGGATAAAGAGGTCGAAGACCAGAGGTTGTATGTCACAGATTAGGTTCCTGTAAATTTTGCAAATTCTAGAGTGACCTGATTAGACAAAAATAAATTAAGGCATCCATAACAATTAACTTTTTTATCATCCATTTGCTTGTAATTTCAATGTTAAATTTACCATTTCCTTATAATGTAGGTAGAAGACTGATTTAGGTGAATAAAGATAATATGCATGTATGTATGTATGTATGTATGTATGTATGTATGTATGTATGTATGTATGTATGTATGTATGTATGTATGTATGTATGTATGTATGTATGTATGTATGTATGTATGTATGTATGCATGCATGCATATATATATATATATATATATATATATATATATATATATATATATAGGCATATGTTTTGTCAGTCTGAGGACAGGAAGAGAGAGAGAGAGAGAGAGAGAGAGAGAGAGAGAGAGAGAGAGAGAGAGAGAGGACAGGAAGAGAGAGGGAGAGAGAGAAAGGAGAGAGAGGGAGATAGAGAACAGTGAGGTAGAGAGAGAGAGAGAGAGAGAGAGAGAGAGAGAGAGACGGGAGAGACAGAAAAGAGAGAGAGGGAGTAGGAGATAGAAGAGGTAGATAGAGAGAGAAAGAGACAGACAGACAGAGAGAGAGAAAAGGGAGAGAGGGAAGATGGAGGGAGAGGTAAAGAGAGAGAGAGTGAGAGTGAGAGAAGAGAGAGAGTATTGAAGGAGAGAGAGAAGAGGGAGTGAGAAGGATAGAGAATGAGGGAGAGGGAGAGATTGAGAGGGAGAGATAAAGAGAAGGAAGAAGGCGAAAGGGAGAGAGAGGGAGAGAGCGGAAGATGAAAGGGCGCACGCAAGAGAGAGAGAGAGAGAGAGAGAGAGAGAGAGAGATTGAGAGAGACGAAGAGAGAGGGAGGCAGAGAAATGAGGGAGAGAGAGGGGGCAGAAAGAGAGAAGAGGGAGAGAGAGAGGGGAGGGAGAGAGAGAGGGAGAGAGATAAGTGGGCAAAAGGGAGAGAGAAGAGATTGAGAGAGTATAGGGAGAGAGAGAATGATTATAATAGAAAAGATGGAGAGAGAGAGGGTGAAGAGAGGGATAGGGAGATATAGAGCGAGAGGGAGAAAGAGAGGGAGCGAGAGGTAGAGAAGATGTAGGGTAAGAAAAGTAATAGAAAGGTAGAGAGAGGGAGATAGAGAGAAAGAACTGAGGGAGAGGAGAAGAGTGAGAGAGAGCTATAGAAAAAAAGGGAGAGACGGAGAGAGAGAGACGGAGACAGAGACAGAGAGTGAGAGAGAGAGAGAGAAAGAGAGAGAGAGAGTGAGAGAGAGTGTAGAGATGGAGAGAGCAGAGGAGAGAGAGACATGAGGGAGAGAGCGAAGAGTGAGAGAGGGATAGAGATGGAGAGTGAGAGAGGGATAGAGATGGAGAGTGAGAGAGAGCGGGAGAGACATGGGTTGTGAAAAGGAGGAAGGGGAGAGATGGATTGAGAGAGAGAGAGAGAGAGAGAGAGAGAGAGAGAGAGAGAGAAAGAGAGAAAGGAGAGAGAAAAAAAGAGAGAGAGATGATATACAGTAGCTAACATCATATGAATACTATGCAGTCGATAACACCAAATGCAATACGAAATATTAGTTCGCCCCATTATGTTTAAAGCCTCATTTAGTAATAAATGAATATAGCCTTGTACCGGATTTAGGAATAAGCTAAACAAACTGAAGCTTAGGGCCTCAAGGTCTAAACTCAGTCTGAAGGAGCCCCTCAAATTTATTTTATACCCAATATGGCCTCTATAGCTTCCCATAGCTTAGGACCTCGCTTTTTCTAAATCCGGCACTGACTATACTGTAGTTAACACCAGTGGATTGATATGCAGTTGCTAATACCATGGGAAAGCTATACAGTAGAAAACACCACGCGAATGCTATTCAGAAGGAAACAGCATTAATGATTAAAAACACATAAAAGTAAAAAAAAAAACATTTAGGAATGAAGAAACATCATCATAGACAAAGTCATATTAGGACATAAAGCCACACTAAGAAATAAAGTGACTTTACGAAATAACGCCACATTATGAGATAAAGTCGCTTTAAAGCAAAAAGCCACAACAAAGAATAAATCCACATAAAGATATAAAGTCAAATTTAGGAATAAAGTCACAATGTAGAAAATACAAATATATTAGGAAAAAAAGCCACACTAAAAATAAAGTCACGCAAAGGAATAAAGACACAGCATGGAATAAAGTCACGATAGGAAATAAAGCCACATTAGTAAATAAAGCCACATTAGGAAATAAAGCAACACTGAGGAATAAAGCCACATTAGGAAATAAAGCCACACAAAGGAATAAAGCCACTCGAGGAAATAAAGCCACACTAGGAAATAAAGCCACACTAAGGATTAAAGCCACACTAAGGAATAAAGCCACATTAGGAAAAAAAGCCAAACTAGGAAATAAAGCAACACTAGGAAATAAAGCCACACTAAGGATTAAAGCCACACTAAGGAATAAAGCCACACTAAGGAATAAAGCCACACTAAGGAAAAAAGCCACACAAAAAAATAAAGTCACGCAAAGGAATAAAGACACACCATGGAATAAAGCCACGATAGGAAATAAAGCCACACTAGGAATTAAAGCCATACTAGGAAATAAAGCCACATTAGGAAATAAAGACACACTAGGAAACAAAGACACACTAGGAAATAAAGCCACACTAAGGAATAAAGCCACACTAAGGAATAAAGCCACACTAAGGAAAAAAAGCCACACTAAAAAATAAAGTCACGCAAAGGAATAAAGACACACCATGGAATAAAGCCACGATAGGAAATAAAGCCACATTAGGGAATAAAGCCACATTAGGAAATAAAGCAACACTGAGGAATAAAGCCACATTAGGAAATAAAGCCACACAAAGGAATAAAGCCACTCGAGGAAATAAAGCCACACTAGGAAATAAAGCCACACTAAGGATTAAAGCCACACTAAGGAATAAAGCCACATTAGGAAATAAAGCCACATTAGGAAATAAAGCCACACTAGGAAATAAAGCCACACTAGGAAATAAAGCAACACTAGGAAATAAAGCCACACTAAGGATTAAAGCCACACTAAGGAATAAAGCCACACTAAGGAATAAAGCCACACTAAGGAAAAAAGCCACACAAAAAAATAAAGTCACGCAAAGGAATAAAGACACACCATGGAATAAAGCCACGATAGGAAATAAAGCCACACTAGGAATTAAAGCCATACTAGGAAATAAAGCCACATTAGGAAATAAAGACACACTAGGAAACAAAGACACACTAGGAAATAAAGCCACACTAAGGAATAAAGCCACACTAAGGAATAAAACCACACTAAGGAAAAAAAGCCACACTAAAAAATAAAGTCACGCAAAGGAATAAAGACACACCATGGAATAAAGCCACGATATGAAATAAAGCCACATTAGGAAATAAAGCCACACTAGGAAATAAAGCCACACGAAGGAATAAAGCCAAACTAGGAAATAAAGCCACACTAGGAAATAAAGCCACACTAGGAAATAAAGCCACACTAAGGAATAAAGCCACACCAGGAAACAAAGCCACACTAGGAAATAAAGCCACACTAGGAAATAAAGCCACACTAAGGATTAAAGCCAAACAAAGGAATAAAGCCACATTACGAAATAAAGCCACACTAGGAATTAAAGGCACATTACGAAATAAAGCCACACTAAGGAATAAAGCCACACTAAGGAATAAAGCCACATTAGGAAATAAAGCCACACTAGGAAATAAAGCCACACTAGGAAATAAAGCCACACTAAGAAATAAAGCCAAATTAGGAAATAAAGCCACACTACGAATTAAAGCCACATTACGAAATAAAGCCACACTAAGAAATAAAGCCAAACTAAGGAATAAAGCCACATTAGGAAAAAAGGCCACACTAGGAATTAAAGCCACAATAGGAAATAAAGCCACACTAAAAAATAAAGCCAGACTAAGGAATAAAGCCACACTAAGAAATAAAGCCACATTAGGAAATAAAGCCACACTAGGAAATAAAGCCACACTAGGAAATAAAGCCACACTAAGGAATAAAGCCATACTAAGGAATAAAGCCACACTAGGAATGAAAGCCACATTACGAAATAAAGCCACACTAGGAATTAAGGCCACATTA